CTCCCAGCAGCTCAACACGAGTATCTGCGTAAGAAGATGTGCCTTATTTGATGATGTACTGATATTTCGCTCAACTGGCAAAGAAGGGGAATGTCACTGCGTTATTTTATTTACCAGCTGAGCCAATTATTTCTGGACTATCTGACTTTCCGTACCTTGCCAAGAATTGTTATCAAAAGTTACTACGCATGTCTGCATTCCTTCACTTGCTTCACACACTCTTTCCTTTGTTCTCTTGCCAGCAAGGTCTGGCTGAGAAATAGCCGGCAAGATTTATTTCAAAAATGTAGCAATTACTTTTCTTAGTTAGTGAAGTGTTTTATTTTCTTTATAACAAATAAATGAGTTTTATTAGAAACTTTTCTTCGCGTTTTATTTTTCAGAATATTGCAACAAGGAATAAGCCTCGATCCATCCTCTAAACCAGGGTGATTTTTCCCAGAGCCAAACATGGGATTAATCAACGCCCTGACACTAACAAGCAAAGTCAATGGGGAAACCAGATTCGCTTAAGAGCCATGTTACTAATTTAACAACTGCAGGGATTCCCTGAACAAATGTGGCAAGAAAAGTCGTAAAATGGGGCAAAACTCACTTAACTGGTTTTTTTTTTTCACTTAGCAACATAAATTTTGGGCTCAATTGTGGTCATTAGTTGAGGCCTACCTATATAGTCCTGATCCTTTGTACCTGATAAGGGGGGCAGGTCAGCCATCGAAATTCCAGAACCAAGTCATAAGTTCCTTTTGGGTTACCCATCGTAAATTCCAGTGGTTGCTAAGCAACAGGTCCTAAGTTGAGGACCACCTGTAATGCAGAATGAGCCCCTTTTATTTTGATGTACTTTACCTGTCATGGACTGCCAACTTTGCAAAAGGCCCATTATTTTCATTTTATTTATTTGCATGATACCTGCAGATCCTTCTTTAGAGCCGTTGAGGTAAATGGTGAAGATAAAATTCTTCTCAGTTTTTTTCCTTAAATAAGTTCTGTGATATTATTACTTTTACTGGATTCTACATTGTTTTATTAGCACTTAAATTGTACGTTAATTAGTCATGTGGCTTATCTGGTTTTAAATGAGACTAAGTATTGATTAACACTCTTATTTTTATAGTTATAATTGGTTTTAAGTGAAATAATGTATTGATTAACACTCCTTTTTTTATAGCTATAACTGACTTTAAGCGAGACGATGTATTGATTAACACTCCTATTTTTATAGCTATAACTGCTTCTTAATAGTTTATATTTTTTAAATGCTAATAGGCAGACATAGATTTACAACTGAAATTATTTATAGGGGAAAATGTAGGTTACAAATTTGTTTTTAAAAGCTGTGAAAACATCTTTATAACTAATTGTTGGAAGAAATGTCCTTCTGGGTTCAGTTCCAAGTGGGGAGAAAGACACTGGAAACATGGAGGCTGATTGGAAAGATGGTTTAATGGTGGACAGGACCACATGATTTTGAGGTCCTAGGCAATCAAACACATGGGGGAGAGAGAGAGAGAGAGAGAGAGAGAAAGAGAGAGAGAGGAGAGAGATTTATACCCTCTCTTGGGCTCCGCCTTAGAGCTTCCTGTTCCTGTGTAAGAAATGTATTCTGATTGGTTGTCAGACTCCTGTGGGGCCATGCAGGGGTAACTTTGTAGGTTGTCTTGAGTCCTAGGCTTGGTTGAATCTTGCTGGGTGATGTAATGAAGGGGCTTTGGGCAATTCCTATTATGGCTTAATGGCTTTGTCCTGGTTTGGATCTTGAGTGAGGGCTAATCCTATCACCCTGGAGCTGAAGGTCTTTTGTCTTCCAGATAAACTGGCACCAAAATATCTGCTGGGATTGAGTTTCCTTAAGATTTCTATTTCTCATTTAGGGGAAATATTCTGCCTTTTTAATATTTCCTAGAATATTTCATTCTTCCAGGAGAGGGGTGCTAACTTTCTACATATTCTTGCCTAAAAGATATTTTAAAATATTTTAAATAAAGTACAATGTTAGAGGGGGAAAAAAAGGAAAACAGGATAAAAGTAGCAAAAGTTTGAACATTGGTTTAATGTTGAAAATTAACAGTAGTGGGTTGGTACATAAAATACAGCAAAGCCCCATGAGGTACTCACCACATTTGATAATAAGCCCCTACTTATATCCTGTTTGAGGTGCCTCTGAGCTTGGCTGTTTTCTTGCAACCCTGAGCTACAAATATTCTCCTTTATTATATCCTGTTTCTTAGCCTTATGACTTGCTGAGCTGAATGCCTATGAATACCTATGAAAATATTAGCATCTGATAGCACACAGAGATGATAAACGTGTTTTTTAAGTTTATGGGAAACGCTTATTCAGATCAACATATCTCTAGTCTGCCATTCTCCACCCTAAACCTCTGAGAAAGGAGTGGGTAAAAACCAGGATTATTTAACCACATCAAAGGATTTCCACATTTACATTTCTTTCTTTTTTAAAAAGTTTTTTATTTTGAACACATTAAAACAAAATATAAAGGCACAACATTTATATACATATCACTTATTCCTTCAGCTATTTCAAAGTGATCCTTTCTTGCTATTTACATCTATTTACACATATTTTAACTTTTGTCTTATTCAACAATTATTTTCTATCTTTCTTTATTTCGTCTACATTGCTCCTTGATCTTCAACATTTCCCCCCCTCTCTCCTTTATTCCTCTTTCTCATTTTTCCTATTTTCCAACCATTCATACCATCTACACCACACTTTGCAATATTCTGTATCCTCTTTCTCCCTGAGTTCTTTTGTTAATTTGTCCATCTCTGCGCATTCTAAAATTTTTCTATTTAAATCTTCTTCTGATGGTAGGTTTTCCTTCTTCCAATTTTGCGCATAGACTATGCGGGCTGCTGTCAGTATATGTAATATTAAATAATGTATTTCCTTGGTGTAGTTTTCTATGGAAATCCCTAGTAGAAATTGCTCAGGTTCTCCCTTTATTGAATTCTGAATTATTTCCTCTATCCACTTTTTAACTTTAGCCCAAAATTTCTTTGCCACTGGGCAGGTCCACCAGAGGTGATAATATGTTCCATAGTTACTCTTACATTTCCAACATTTCGGTGAATTACTAGGAAACATTTTCGCTATTCTAGCTGGTGGAAAGTGCCATCTATGAAACATTTTCATCTGGTTTTCCTTGTATGCCGTTGAAGTTGTCAATTTCATATTTGTTCTCCACATCTTTTCCCACTTCTCTAATTCTATTACGTGATTAAAATTCCTTGCCCATTTGATCATAGTATCTTTCACTATTTCCTTTTCCGTTTTATACTGCAATAAAAATTTATATATTTTGCTAATTAATTTTTGTTTACATTTCTATATGAAATTAAATTCATATTTAATTTGATTAAATTTAATTCCCATTAAATTCTTTCTCTCAATGACAACATGTGTTCCATGATTGTTGAATGGTCTACAAACCAAACTCGGACAGTGTGTTCTATTCATTTGAATAACATCTTGAGATGTTCTTCAAGAGTTTTGAAATTAGAAAGACAGTGGGACTAACAGTGACAGCTCTGGATCAAAGTCCCCTTCTTTCTCTAATGTTTAGGCATATCATTCATTGTCCATTGGTTTCATCAACCTGCTCAGAATAGAATAGAATAGAATAGAATAGAATAGAATAGAATAGAATAGAATAGAATAGAATAGAATTCTTTATTGGCCAAGTGTGATTCGACACACATGGAATTTGTCTTTGGTGCATATGCTCTCAGTGTACATAAAAGAAAAGAAACATTCGTCAAGAATCATAAGGTACAACAGTTCATGATAGTCATAGGGTACAAATAAGCAATCAATCATACTAGGAAACAATCAATATAAATCGTAAGGATACAAGCAACAAGTTACAGTCATACAGTCATAAGTGGGAGGAGATGGGTGATGGGAACGATGAGAAAATTAATAGTAATAGTAGTGCAGATGTAGTGAATAGTTTGACAGTGTTGAGGGAATTATTTGTTTAGCAGAGTGATGGTGTTTGGGAAAAATCTGTTCTTGTGTCTAGTTGTTCTGGTGTGCAGTGCTCTATAGCGTCATTTTGAGGGTAGGAGTTGAAACAGTTTATGTCCAGGATGCGAGGGGTCTGTAGATATTTTCACAGCCCCCTTTTTGACTCATGCAGTATACAGGTCCTCCATGGAAGGCAGGTTGGTAGCCATTGTTTTTTCTGCAGTTCTAATTATCCTCTGAAGTCTGGGTCTGTCTTGTTGGATTGCAGGACCAAACCAGACAGTTATGGAGGTGCAGATGACAGACTCAATAACTCCTCTGTAGAGCTGGATCAGCAGCTCCTTGGGCTTCCTGAATTGGCATACAGGTAGTTCTTGACTTATGATCACAGTTGAACCCAACATTTCCATTCCTAAGAAAGGCAGTTAAGTATCGTCCCATTTTATGACCCTTTTTTTGTCACAATTGTTAGGCAAACCTCTACAGTTGTTAAGTGAATCATGGGATCCTTAAATGAATCTGGCTTTCCCCCATTAACTTTGCTTGTCAGAAGCCAGCTGGGAAAGTTACCAACGGTGATCACATGACCCCAGGACAGTGCAACTGGCATAAGTACATGCCAGTTGCCAAGGGCCTGAATTTTGATCATGTGACGGATGCAGCAGCAGTTGTAAATGTGAAAACTGGTCATGTCACTTTTTAAAGTGCCGTTGTAACGTCTAACAGTCACTAAATGAATGGTTGTAAGTCAAGGACTACCTGTATACCATTGTTATGTGGAGGCAGAGAAATCTTCCTAAACCCTGTTGAGTTATTGGAAAAATGCTGATTATTGTGTTGTCAATGAATATCAGATCTGGTTTTGCTGCTCATCTGTTATATTTGGCACCTACATGTTGTCAAAAAAATGGCTTTTCCCCCTTTACTTATGCAGCGAAGCTATGTTAATGTTATTTGATACAAACTGAAAATTGTTGAGGAATCTAAAATATCTTTATTTTTCACAGGTCACCATACGGTCTATATTGGGGTCCATGTACCTAAGAGTTATCGGAGAAGAAGGCACCACAGAAGGAGGCCGAAGGAAAGGAAAGAAAAGGAGAAAATCACTGAATCAGATGCGGAAAATATTGATGAGGGCAGCGGGCACATCCTCAAGCCACTGAGTGAGTAATGGACTTTTGCATTTTTCTTAGGAAAGGGAAACGGTCAGGAAATACGACTTCCAGCACTACGTGACACTAACATTCTTTGCAAGGAGAACGCAAGGATTCTACCTAAAACAGAGGCGTCCATCTTGGGCAGCTTTAAGACCCGTGGACTTCAACTCCCAGAATTCCCCAAGCAGCCATGTTGGCTAGGGAATTTTGGGAGTTGAAGTCCACAGGTCTTAAAGTGGCCAAAGGTTGGACACTGACCACTAACATTTTTTGCAAGGAGAACACAAGTGTTCTACCTGTTCTAGATAGTGGCAGATATTTCTCTCTCTGGGCACAAAGAGAAAATATCTGCTGCGAACTCCGTATTGGCGTCAGGAAGGGCATCCGGCCAGTAAACACTCATCTCCATTCAATTGCCCTGACTCCACCCCGATGCAAGAAATTACAGGGTCATTAAAATAAAAAAACCCCACAAATGTTCTACCTAAAACAGAGGCGTACATCTTGGACAACTTTAAGACTTGTGGACTTCAACTCCCAGAATTCCCCAGCCAACTATGGGAGTTGAAGTCTGGAAGTCTTAAAGTTGTACATCCCTGAACTGAAATAAATGGGTGCAAGGAGATTTTACTGTGTTCTCTCTTCAGGATGGATCGAAATACTTCGTTTTAACATCTCAAATTTTTAGACACTTTACTGTATAAAAGTTTCACAAAATTCAGCCAGGAAATACTGATTTCCAAATACTAAAAATCACTTCAGAGTTCGAACTTGGGGAATATTTTTTGTAGAAAGGGTTTCTACAACTCTTCTACAACTCTTCTAAAAGAGCCTTGATAGTACAGTGGTTTAATGCACCCTGTTATTAACACAGCTGCCTGCAATTTCTGCAGGTTCGAATCTTACCAGGCTCAAGGTTGACTCAGCCTTCCATCCTTTCTAAGGTAGGTTAAATGAGGACCCAGTTTGTGGGGGCAATAAGCTGACTTTGTATAAATATACAAAAGTATGAAGGCTATTGCTTAACGCATTGTAAGCCGCCCTGAGTCTCCGGAGAAGGGCGGCATATAAATCAAAATTAAAAAAAAAAAAAAAACTCTTCTAGTGAAGACAGCAATTAATAATAATAAAAAATCAAACCTCTTTTCCTGAAAATGTTCCATTTATTTTTTACCATGTACCTACCATACCAGATATTACATATTTTGTCACTACATATCCAGAGCAAATTTTGGGTTTAATGTACTTTTTAAAGGGATAAAAAAAGCATCATTCAAGGGGAAAAAAATGTATAAAAATGTCTAGGAAACAAAAAGTACATATTTCTTGTACTGTTGAGATTATAAAAATAGCAACAGAAATCAGTGTTATCCAGAGTGCTTTTCTATTGTCTTCTCATTCCCCTTCTGTCGCTGCTTCTAAGTAACATTATTAAGTCCATGCTAATGGATGGAAAATACTTGGCTAGAAAGTCAGTTTCCAAGACAAGGTAGCAATCTATGTTGAAATCTTGACCCTGACTAAACGTTTAATTAGACCAGCCAATAATGGGTACCAAATGCCCACTTTTCTATCCAGCATTTATTAATTTAGTAGCCGCTGAAAATAATCCAAGAACTCCTTTCACTGTTGGCATAGCTAATTCTTGATTTACAACCATTCATTTAACAACTTTACATAGTTGCAACGTCACTTTAAAAAAAGTGACTTACAACCAGTCCTCGCATTTACAACCGTTACAGCATCCCTATGGTCATGTGATCAAGATTTCAGTTCTTGGCAACTGACATGTATTTATGTGGTTGCAGTGTCTTAGGATCATGTGATGTGTGATTTTTCTAGTTGACTTCCGACAAAGTCAGTGGCGAAGCTGGATTCGCTTAACAGCTGTATGTGTCAGGGTTCCGACGGATGCCCTCATTAAATCATGGGCCTTGAGCCAAGCTTCAAAAGAAATCCAGTTATTTATTAGGAGCTTCATGGTAAGTTCCCAAGTGAAGCCAGCTCTGACCCCACGTAATTTATGACCCAGGCTTGACCTTGTTTCACCCCTTCCCCCAGGGTGTGTCATCAGTGACATTTGCCAATGGAGCAATTTCCCGGGTTGTAGAGATCATTCCACTCCGGCCACTGTCGGTAACCCTGGGAGACAGCCTTGAGAGAGATATGTCTGGAATGTGCTTTTGTTTTTGGCTGCCGTGCACTGTTTTCCCATCCCCCTTGTCTATGGCAACTTGAGAGCAGGTCAGGGATGCTTTGTGAGTTGACAGCATGATTCACTTAACAACTGCAGTGATTCATCCAATTGTGGTTGTAAGTCAAGGACTACCCGTTTGGCTTCTAGGTCTTAACATGCAAATCAGAACGGAGATATCTAGTTGAAGGATGTAAGCTTCAGTTGACGTAATATTTGGGCATAACCCTCACCAGGATCTCTCGCTCAAATTTAGGCCGATTTCTGACTGCATGCTCCCTTTCCCTCTTTCCAGCTCCCTCTTCTTTGTCACCGAATTGAAAATAATAGTATTGTTGTCAAATCTGAGATCAAGGAACCAGATGAGAAATGTTCCCCTAAGCCTGTGATGGTGAACCTATGGCACGTGTGCCAGAGGTGGCATGCAGCGCCCTCTCTGTGGGCATGCAAGTTGTCACCCCAGCTCAGCTCCACCGCGCATGCGTGTGTGCCTCCCACCGGCCAGCTGGTCTTCAGGTCTCTGCTACGCATGCGTGAGGGGCGGGGCATATGCAGGGGCTGCATGCATGCGCGGGGGCGGGGCTCATGTGGGGGGCCACGTACACATGTATAGGGGGGTGGGGTGCATGTGTGGGGCCATGCATGGGGTGGGACGCACATGCACGGGGATGGGCCCATGCAGGCGGGCCATGCACTCATTGCATTTTGGGGGTTCGCACGTGTGCTTTGGGCACTCGGTCCGGAAAAGGTTAGCCATCACTGCCTTAAGCTGAAGCTAGCCTCCATTAATAGCAATAGCTAAGATTGTACTTGCCACAACTGAGCCCCAATTTTCCGATGCTAAGTGCTCGCGCGCACACATACTCTTCTGCGCATGCGCAGAAGCGTTTTGATGACGTCAGGGTCAGTGGGCGGAGCCTCCCGCCGATTTTACTACCGGTTCTATAGAACCGGTGCGAACTGGGGGCAACCCACCACTACTGGTTAACCCTTAAATACATCTTGCTTTTGTGTGGATTAGTTAACAGGCTATCCTTTTTAATTGATAAATTTTCCCACTTTAACCACGGTTAGGACACAACTGTGTTTTTTTTTTAAAAAAAAAAGATAACTAAATTAACCCCGCTAACTATAGGCCCATTAATCTCTTGGATATATTTAGTAAGCTAAATTCTGGATGCTTTAAGTGGCAAATATTAGGATTGGAAGCTGCCCAAGAAATACATCGAAGGAGGAACAAAATGAATTTAGGGTTCAGCAATCTGCTGTTAGTTAGAATCCTGTGTTCTAATATCTGGTTGAAAAATATTCCATCTAGTTTTGGATTTACTCTGTGTGGCCTTTGGTGATTGCACAACCGTTCTTAGTTCGATTTCCAAAGAAACCCCATAGAGAGGCAGTTTCTCCTGCTCATATACAAACTACGAGCAAAGCTTCCACATAGCCATAAGATAAATAAATCAGTTAAGATAAGATAACTTTATTGTCATTTTTTTACTGTGAGGAACAAGGCTGATGCTATATGGAACAAAACTGTGACTGAATCTAGATGTTCTGCTTCGGGTACTACAAAGCCCACTCCCAGATGGTAACAAGGAAAACAGGCTGTGAAGAGGATGTGTAGTGTCCCACAATCCTGCTCAAACATCACTTATATCACGGGTGTCAAACTCACGTTGCTGTCATGTGACATATCGCGACATTCCCCCTCCTTTGCGGAGCTGGGGTGGGCATGGCCTGCATGTGATGCATCTGGCCTGTGGGCCGCCAGTTTGTCATCCCTGGTTTATAAGCTATGTAGTCCTCGACTTACAACTGGCCATTAAATTATAACGGACTTCCACAGGACTGTCCAGAATCTGGATTTAAACTTCAGACAGCTGTTTCCTGCCTTCCCTCAGAAACGGGTGAAATCCAGCAGGTTCTGGAGAACCGGTAGCAGAAATTTTGAGTAGTTCGGAGAACCGGCAAATACCACCTCTAGCTGGCCCCAAAGTGGGGTGGGAATGGGGAATTTGCAGTATCCTTCCCCTAGAGTGGGGTGGGAATGGAGATTTTGCAGTATCCTTCCCCTGCTACACCCACCAAGCCACACCATGCCCACCAAGCCACGCCCACAGAACCAGTAGTTAAAAAAAAAATTGAATTTCACCACTGCTCAGAGATCAGGTGTCCCTAAGGTGCTTTTCCAAGAGGCAACTGGACTTTCTTGTTAAACTTTGAAGACGTCTTTCTTCAAAGAGAACCGAAGAAGCTTCTTGGATGAGAAGCAAAACGTCTTCAAAGAAAAAACAAAGTCCACTTGCCTCTTGAAAGAAAAGCACCTTTGGGACCAACCAGGACCTGGATGACTGAGAATCTCCATAAAAACATAGTTGTTAATCCTCTGAATTTTGATCACAGGACTGTCGGATTGCTGCAATGGTTGTAAGTCCTAATAAGTCAGTTTTTCTAGTGCCATTGTAACTTTGAACAGTCATTAAATGGATGGTTGTAAATTGAGGATTACCTCTACATTTATGATAGCTCTCCTGGCAGACCTGAGGACTTGTGCACTTCAGAATGAAATGGCTTTTTATTTTTGGGGAACTCATAAGTCCAATAGAGAAAATGAGTGGTGATAAAAAAAAGATGCTGAGACTCTAGAAAAAGTGCAGAGGAGAGCAACCAAGATGATGAGGGGACTGGAGGCTAAAACATACAAAGAAAAGTTGCAGGAACTGGGCCTGGCTAGTCTAGTGAAGAGAAGGACCAGGTGAGACATGATAGCAATCTTCCAATATTTGAGGGGCTGCCACAGAGAGGAAGGGGG